TCTTTCCCTCACTTGTTTACTTTGTATAAATGTTGATTGTCATTGAGGGTAGCTCATCATTACACCACAAATTTAATTGTGCTTGTTCTTTTTTAGGTGTATGTTGTGGTGGGGATTGCAGCACTGGTGTGCACTGGCTTAGTGATAATGCTCATTATTCTGAAATTTGGAAGACACTCTAAGTTTGGGATGAAAGGTAAGAAGGGATTCTTTTATTACTTTCCTCATAGGAGTTCTTTTTATCATGGGTTATAGTAGCATATATCATAGAATTGTGGTTTCTGAATGATGAAGTTTAGCTAGAAAAAATGTCATCACACACATTATTTCATTTTTTGGCAAGTAAATAAGGAGAGAGGCAGAAAAATACAGAAATAAAGGGCCTTGGACCAAAACTGTGTTCCAATGTGTTTGGTACTGTCCAGGTTTTTGCAGCCTAATTCAATAAAGCCAAAGTTTGGGATGAAAGGTAAGAAGGTATTATACAGTACAGGTGGACAAAAATCTGGTCCTGTTTAAGAAAAGAAACTTACTTTGATGTGCAGTTCTGGAAACTTATCTATACTACATATAGCAGGTCATTCCAAATACCATTCAAGGTTCCCTCTGATGTTGGATCCAGCAATAAACCACAACAAAAGGAGGTACCCCTGCAAGTACCACATCATCAAGTTAGGCCTTATGAACTAAATACCTCTTCTAGATCCTGGGGATGTCCTAGGAAATTGTATTTTTGAAACAGCTGTCTGAGAGGTGACAAGAGCACACATCCACCTGGAGAGTGAAATTCTGGACTTTTTATTTTATATTTTTTGGTGCAGTAGCACTCCATGTACCATGATATTTTCTGCTTGTATGCAAACATGTTAGAGGAATTATAGCTCAAAAAGACCCTTATAATCTTAGTGGGAGAATAGACTATTAGTGAGTATTTTACCCTGAACCAAAGGATGTACTGCAGAGGGTCTCTGGTAACAGAGGTAAGTCCTAGCAAGTTAGGCTTCCTGTCTCCTTATTTCTGTCCTATGATTTCTCCTGCCCATATCACTAATATCTTTCATAGTCCTATAAAGTCTTACTTATGGCATGTATCTTACTGGTTCTGTCTGTACCATGACATTGTGTTTTATTTAGATTTTTGTCTTATTTCTCAGTGGACTTGGGGATTCTTTACAGGGGAGAATTCCTGGAGTGGATGAGATTTAGGTAGGGCAGAACTGTGGCTGGGCCAACATAGACAAAAAACCTCTTGCTCCCCTTTACCCAACAACTCATTCTTTAGCCTTGGGAATCATTGTGAGTGGCAGAAAATGGGTAGTATGAAAGATGTGGGAAGGCATTTTGGAAATTTTGGGAACAGCTGCAATATTTAGGTCAAAGGCCCCCAAAAATTGTAGAGGCCTGAAAGATGACTTACAGAAGTGGGGACCAACCATTTTGACAGGTATGCCACAAATTAAGTCCCATGCTCTCCCAAATGCCACTCCAATCTCCTTTCCCATCAGATCTGCTGCTCTGCTTTCTGCTCCCTGCCCAATCTGCTGCTTTTCTTTCTTCTCTCTGCCATATCTTCCACTGTGTTGGCAGCTGTCCCCACCATGATCTGCCATGCCATGCAGGCAGTCTGCCTGTACCACTTGTGGCACATGTGCTGCAGTTTGGCTACCTTTGCTTACCCTTTCTTTAAGACTTAAAGGACTGGGGTTATACTGGAAGAGAAGAAGAAGGTGGAAGCCAAAGTGCAGGGGAGGGGTGGTGGGATATCATTGACATTTGGGCCCTAAATTAACTTTTAAATACCATACTAGTGGCTTACGAAGTTCTTTATTAGAAAGTAAAATCTCCCCACTGGAAGAAATATAGAAGTTTTATTCTTCACTTTCCAGGCAGCTTTTCTGTCAATGAATTTGTATTGATAAATTATCCTTGGTTATGATTAATTAGTATTAGGTACAAATAACCCTTTGCATCCAAACCTAAATTTACCGGCATGAACCAGTCTCTAGCTTAGAGTTCCAGAGACCTTTTTTAGAAGTATCATCATCAACATCATCAGTGTTTTTATTTGTTTTATAGTAGGTGTGGAAAAAACACTGCTATAAGATGGATAGATAACTGGCTCAATAGCTCAAGCAAAGGATAATTATCAATGGGTCCATGTCAGAATGGCAGGACGTTTTAAGTAGAGTCCCACAGGGATCTGCCCAGGCCCCAGTGCTGTTCAACGTGTTTATTAATGATTTGGATGCTGGCATAGAAAGCTTCTTGAGCAAAACTGGGAAGGATTGTGAACATGTTGGAGGATGTGAGTCCAATTCATAAGGATCTCAGCAGATTGGAAAATTGAGCTTAAAGCTAAAAGGAAGAAGTTAATTGAAGACAAATGCAAGGTGCTACAACTTGGGAAGAATAATCTAAAACAAAAATATAAAATGGATGACACCTGGCTTGATGACAACCTTATGAAAAAGGGTCTGGGACTTTTGATAGATCACTGGCTCAATATGAGCCTTCAGTCTGATGCAGCCGCACAAAAGGCGGATGCGGTTTTGAGATGCATCAATAGAATCATGGGGTGCAAGATATGGGAGGTGACAGTGCCTCTCTACTTGGCATTAGTTAGGCCTCATCTAGAGTATTGTGTGAAGTTCTGGGCTCCCCATTTTAAAAAGGAAGTGGAGAAGTTAGAGAGTGTCCAGAGATAGACAACAAAAATGATAAAGAGCTTGGAAAGCATGAGAAGAGACTGAAGGAGCTAGGTGTGTTCAGCTTGTGGAAAAGGCACTTTAGAGGGGACATGATAGTAGTCTTCAAATACTTGAAGAGCTGCCATAAAGAAGCAGAAAAGCACCTTTTCTCTGTGGCTGCAGAGAGGAGAACACAGAACAATGGTTGGAAGTTGCAGCCAAGTAAGTTTAGATTGAATATCCAAAAAAACTACTTCACATTTAGAACAGTGAGGCAGTGGGATAGACTGCCTAGGGAAGTTTTGGCATTGCCCATCACTGGAGGTGTTCAAGAAGTTGAACAGCAGCTGGTCAGGGCTTGGTATTTCCCATGCTTCTGGGCTTTGTTGGTTCACCCTGACCCCCTTTTCTACTACATGTCAGGTGTTTTTAACTCTCCCTCAGAGGCATTGAGTGTTAGCTACAGCCCAGGCTGGGGACTTTAACTGAGGTGCACCAGTGCTCCTACTGGGACCAAGGAAGCTAGGGGTTTTGTCTCTCTTCTCAGGGTTAGACTGATCACCATATTTGGGGTCAGGAAGGAATTTTAGCTCATGGTTACATTGGTATGGACTATGGGAGAGGTTTGCCTTCCTCTTTAGTTGGGGGCATGGCCCCCTGGCTACCCAGGATCTCTTGAGCATACATTGACATTTCACAGAAGCAGGATATTGGCCACCACAGTTCCCCTGCTTTACCTGTGGCAGGTTAGGGTGTTAAGTTTATGTTGCATCGGGGTTGACAGTAGTCTTCTGACCTCTGGAGGTCCCTTCCAGCTCTACTTCTCTATGATTCTGTGATTCTGTGAAGACTTAGATGCCCCATTTTGGGATCAGGTCAGCAATATGCTAGATACTGTAAATGTATGAGAACTCTAAATAAACCTATTTCTACCGAAAAGCTTGAAACAAGGGTATGATGAAAGACAATAGGAAAAGGTAAACAAGTTGGGGTGTGAGAAAAACAGGTAATATTCAATCCTTTTAGTACATGCTTTTAGTAGGGAAGAAGAGAGAATATTCAGTTTCTTGTAGAAAATATCTATTAAAAATGGTGAATCTTCCATTCAACCAAAGTAATGCTCCAAAAAGATGTGCGAACACTTTGCATTCATGAGGGGGGAGCTTCCTGTATTATTTAGATCAGTGGTACACACAGAGCTTTTATTTTTTTAATGTTGAGATAATAATATAATAATACAACTACCTTAATCATCTTCTCATTAAACATTCCCCTACCCTTTCTCAAACAGTATCCAAGGCAGAAAATAAAAAGAACCTAAGCAGGCCAGGCAGTAAAGAACAGTTAACAGTGCTTTCCATTGTATCTGTCCTCTGCAAAGGAGTGAAACCTCCTTCCACTAGAATGCGAGAAATACATGTCAGAGGTAAAATGGAGTGGGAACTCTAAAGACAATAACTCTACTTGCAATAACGCTGTGCAAGGAGTGCGGCTGTGTATGTATCCTTGATTATGGCATGTATCTGCAGCATCATAGTCAAAGAATAAGTTGTATGGTTAGGACCAAAGGTGATACTACCCTTCCCATAAAGGGGAGAATGGGTAAGATAGTACATAGTGGGGCAGAACAAGTGACTACTGAAGGGAACATGTGCTGAACAATTGCAAAGACTCTGCTCAACTCACGCCTTGTCTTCCAGGCATGGCTGTGCCTGTTTCATGTGCAGTGCCTCTGTGCATTCCCATTGCCAGGGTTCTTTCCTTGTATATAGCCTGAACCATAGGCTATAGCTTAAAGTAGGAGTGGGTTATTATTTTGGCTGGAGGGACACTTAACGAGTTTTTGTGTTATTGACTGCTGCACACGTAAAATTAATGGTGATAATATTTTAACAAATTTTAGATGCAAAACAAATCATATGCTAAAAATCAAATATCTTCTATAAACTATTTTAATTTAATTTAAGAAAATAATTCTTGTTCTGATATATATGTTTTTGAGTAGTGTATATAGAGGTAAGACACTCGGCCAAGGGAGGATGCCTCCACCTTCAGCAGAGCCCTGACACCAACCAGCCACCCCCAAATCACAAAGGAACTCCTGCCTCAGCCTGCACCCTGACATACCTCCCAAGAGCCACCTGCCCCCATGTCTTCCTGTCCACCCTTGCACCCACAAAGCCTGGGAAAGCTCAACAGCCCCCTCCAGCCTGCCCCAGCTGCCTGCCAGGGCTATGCAGGCTGCGCCTACCTACATTCTGGGGGGTCCCCCTTCCCCAAGAGGAGACCCTGACCCAGGGTGCTGCAGGCAGCCTTACCTGGGCAGACAGGATGGGAGTCATACTGGCTGCTGCCAGGCAATGGTAGGTGGCTAGGTTGGCTTGTGGAGTTGCACAGGGCAAGACAGGAGGCAGGGATGGGGTCAGGACCTGGGCTTCACCTGCTAGGAAGTGCTGAGGAAGCTCTGCAGCCTCTGGGCACAGGTGCAAGGTGCCTACTACATGGTCCT